GCATTGAAGAAACCCAAGAAAATTGAATGTAGTCTCACAACTGTCAATAGCCTTTTCGCCAAATATATTTAAAGAAGTGTTACTCAAGAAACAAAAGTCTTGGGTTTTTATTTGTTAGCTGTGCCTAAAGGCTATTTATTTTCTTGATATGTTAGATTCATTGTCATATTGATGACCGCAAGAATCTTTTAAGTTTAAACCAAGCTCTATTGATCTGTACTTGACTGTATTTGCCATAGCCTTTCCATTGTGTCCTTAAGAAGAATCAAAATGCTAAATCTTCTTTCCACAACAGCTTCTTCGTTCAAATAATAAATTATTATTTTAAATTAGTCACAATGTGAAGTATCAGGTAATGAGTCAACAAGTATTTAGCACTGGACACTTCGCTATCAATTTATTGTAAAAACTTTTTTTGTAATTTGAATTGTACAAAAAACTTTAAGCACTTAAAAACTTTTTTTAGAACATCCCTCCAATAACGTTTTTCATCCTCTAACTGCATTTTTAAATGAGCATATATTTTTTCTTTAAATTAGTTTTTTTCTAAATAGCACTTGACTGCTTGACTGTGCAGTTTGCTTTGCTCATGCCTCGGTATTAAACGCTGTCCATATGGTCAGTCATTGATTCCAGTTCTGAAATTGTCATCACAGTCTTAAAAAAGCGAGGAGGAAAAAATATATTTTTCAAATATTTTTTCCATGGATGGTAAATATATTGGCCGCTCATTAAAATTTCACAATTTTTCAACTTTTAGAAAAAATAGAGAGTGGTTTACTTAGTTTCTGTCATTTTTTTTTTATTTTTCAAAATTTTTATTTAGAACATTATGATGAAGCATTACTTTTAAAGAAAGTAGCTTCTTTTAAATCACACCGCTCTGTATGATGGGTAATGCTGGGTAAGATGGAAATATTGACAAATTCGGCTAAAATAAAAAAAAAAAACTTTGCAGTTTAAATTCACAATAAAAGATAATACGTTCAAAAAAATAACCATACGTTCAAAAAAATAATAACAAAAACAATGATAATAACAAGAATAAAAATAATATTTATATTAACTATAAAATTAAGTTTTCCTTCATCTGCACTATTCTTTTTTTAGGGTATTACTAAGATGCCTGAGAAGTCCTTAAAGTCTTATGACACCTATTTAAATGCTCTTCCACACCACGGAAGAGCATTTAACTAAGTGTTTCAAGTTGGAACCTTCTTTCTTACCAAGGTCGCTTATTGAGCAAAGCCAGAGCTCTAACCATCGCACCACGGCTGTGCTATTACATTGCCATTTAACACATGATGTTAGATAGATGTTAGATGGAGATGTTAAATTGGATAATGCCTACACTGTTTATGAAAGAACTATCTGTTTCGTCGTGCAACTGTGAGTTTTCTGTAGTTGGCTTAAAGTCATTTGTAACACATTAATTCTTCTGACATGACTTATCAGAAGACCGGAAAAAAATTTGTCAATCTTGAGATTTTTTCTAATCTTTAAAAATAATTAAGCAGTTTTGTACTTAACTTTTGAAAGTAAATAAAAAAAGATAAAAAAGTTTTGAAAAATGCCATCAGTTGCGAACTTTTTAAAAAAAAAAAATTTTAAGTTTTTTTTCTTTCGATGTTTCTTTTAATTAACTTTTAAAGTAATTGTAGATATGGTTACTTTTGATTTCTCACGTGATTCCGACAGGATGGATAGAACTGGATTACTCTTTGAAATAGTAATACAATACACCATAATAGTTATTGTAGTTGTTTTTTATTCCAGCAATACAATACAAAATTTATTGTAATAGTTTTATATCACAGCAATACGCAACGTTTTATAATACGTTTTAGAAATTCAATGTACTGTTATAAAAAAAACAATACATTTGTTATTATAACTGCTTTTATTCACAGCAATACAATAACAATAAGTAATGTTTTAATTACATCTCTGGTATTACAATACAATATTATTGTATTGTAATATTTTATTGTATTTAATTTTTACAATTACAGTTACAACAGTCTGAACCCTATTCAAAGATGACTTTGAAAAAACCTGGTTTCTATTGACAATTTAAAGCAAAACTGTTTAAAAATGCATAGCCTCAATGTAAAAATTGTAAGTTGTACCTTGATTATCACAGAAAAAGGAAGGTCTAGCATTTTTGTTATTTATAAAGTGTTCAACACTATCTTGTGCTCTTACTTATGAATTTTTATACATCAGAAAATTTCGATAAAGGGTTTGATATTAACAATAAGACACTTTATGAAATGAGAGTATTAGGCCATGGTCATACTGGCATTGATAAATTTACTCAGCTCATGAATATACCTAAATCCATGACACCCAAAAACTATACAAAATAAAAAAAAAAAAAAAAAAAAAAAGATTGTAAAAAGTGTAGCAGATGAGACAATGTCTGATGCTGTAATTGAAATGTGAGAAAATGCAACTGATGATAATATTGTTGATGTGTATCATGCGATGATGGTGTGTCATGCGATGGATCATTGCAAAAAAGATTTCAGTAGATAAATAGTGTTTTTACCACTATTTTAACAGAAAGTGTAAAAGTAATTGGTGTTGAACCGATGAATGTAAAGCTTGTCATGTAAAAATTGCTGTGTGAAAGAAAATTTATGAAGATTAAATCCTCATGCATATGCTAATTGGAAAAACATCACATTTGTTTCTACAATTATCAGGGTACAGCAGTTTTTAAATGGTGGTATGGAGTCGGTTGGCACAGTGAGAGTTTTTAAATGGTGGTATGGAGTCGGTTGGCACAGTGAGAGTTTTTAAATGGTGGTATGGAGTCGGTTGGCACAGTGAGAGTTTTTAAATGGTGGTATGGAGTCGGTTGGCACAGTGAGAGTTTTTAAATGGTGGTATGGAGTTGGTTGGCACAGTGAGAGTTTTTAAATGGTGGTATGGAGTCGGTTGGCACAGTGACAGTTTTTAAATGGTGGTATGGAGTCGGTTGGCACAGTGACAGTTTTTAAATGGTGGTATGGAGTCGGTTGGCACAGTGAGAGTTTTTAAATGGTGGTATGGAGTCGGTTGGCACAGTGAGAGTTTTTAAATGGTGGTATGGAGTCGGTTGGCACAGTGACAGTTTTTAAATGGTGGTATGGAGTCGGTTGGCACAGTGACAGTTTTTAAATGGTGGTATGGAGTCGGTTGGCACAGTGAGAGTTTTTAAATGGTGGTATGGAGTCGGTTGGCACAGTGAGAGTTTTTAAATGGTGGTATGGAGTCGGTTGGCACAGTGAGAGTTTTTAAATGGTGGTATGGAGTCGGTTGGCACAGTGACAGTTTTTAAATGGTGGTATGGAGTCGGTTGGCACAGTGACAGTTTTTAAATGGTGGTATGGAGTCGGTTGGCACAGTGACAGTTTTTAAATGGTGGTATGGAGTCGGTTGGCACAGTGACAGTTTTTAAATGGTGGTATGGAGTCGGTTGGCACAGTGAGAGTTTTTAAATGGTGGTATGGAGTCGGTTGGCACAGTGACAGTTTTTAAATGGTGGTATGGAGTCGGTTGGCACAGTTTTTAAATGTTCTATTAAAAAACTCAGATTAAGATATACCAAATTTCTTGGGAATAGTAAATCTCATTTTTCTATCAAAAATATATACCCTGCCTTTAGGGTGAAAAAGTTGGAGTGTGTAGGACATTACCAAAAGTGGATTGGTACACACTTACGTAAGTTAAAAAAAATCTTAAGGATCTTGGTAGTCGTGGTTGTTTAAGTAATGTAGTTATTGACCACTTGCAAAATATTTTTGGTGTTGCCATCCGAAAAAATACAAAAAATTTACATGAAATGAAAAAAGTACTATTAACCAACCTTTTCCACGCAGCTTCTTCTAAGGAAAATAACGATCACATTTACTCTCCAACTGGAAATGATAGTTGATACAAGTACAATATCAATAAAGCCAATTCTTCTTCCGCATACAAACCTGGACCAGGAGTTCCTGTGGATATTATTCATAAAATAAAGCTAATATATGCTGATTTAAGTAAAGACTCTGAATTAGCAAAGTGTATGCATGGAAAAATTCAGATTTGCAACAAGATTTTTTTAATAATTTGATATAGGAAAGTTTCCCAAAAAAGTAATTATGCTTGTTTAGAATCTAGAGAGTATGATGCTGTTGCAAATTATAACATTGGTATGAAGTCTATAATTATTATAAATCTAATATTATTTTAGTTTATGAAAAACCTAATATGAAACCTGGACAATTTACTTTAGTTGGTTGCAAACTTATGAATAAAAAAAGAATTATGCCATCATCATTTAAGTCAAGTCAGAGTTCATAAAATAGTATTCTTTTATTTAATATAATGTAAAAAAAAAAAGTCATTTTTTTACAATATATTAAGAATTTTTTGTTTTTGCTTTGTGTTTTCTAAGACTTTGTATTTTAAGTACGCCGTTAAAAACATTTCAAAAACTATACATGCTATGATGATGAAATTTTCACGAATTGTTTATTTTATACTGTGATATCAATCTGTGATATGAGCGGAGTAGAATTTTTAATAAAACTTTAGATTTTGAGTTATTGAGTTTTGTATTTTGTATTTTTTGTGTTACCTAATTTTTCTGTACTTTTTTATACTATAAAAAGTATTTATTCAAAAATCTGCCTCACTCATATTACAAATTTATACATTTAAAACAGTTCTGGAAAGTTTCATTATCACTCCTTTAATCGTTTTTTCAAATTTTTTTACAGCTATTTGGTATTTTTAACTATTTTTTTTTGTTTACCATAGCAACGAGCTACCATTTTATAAATTTTTTTGTATTTTTAATTTCAGCATAATATTTACTGTGTGAATCAAGAGAAAGTTTGTTTATATGTGTTATTTTAAAATTTGCGGGTAGTTGCCCCTAATCGTTTTACCTATTTCGTGTTAAAATAAAATTATCGAAATAAATTTATAGTGTAAAATTGCTGTAAAACTTGTTTTATTAAATTTAGGTTATTGCTGCAGAGGGTGAGATGAACGCAGCTCGTGCTTTGAAAGAAGCTTCAGATGTAATTAGTGAGTCACCAAGTGCTCTTCAACTTCGATATTTACAAACTCTTCAAACAATATCAGCTGAAAAAAATTCCACCATTATTTTTCCTCTACCAATCGATTTTATAAGTAATTTTATAAAAAATCATTAATAAACGCTTTTTTAAATTTTAAATAATTTCTTTTAAAAAATTTTCATCTAATATTCGCATTTGAGAGTTTTAATTGCTTGTAATGTAACTTTGGATTTTAACCTTTTAGCATATATTTGTAGTTGTCTGTAATTTTATTTTTACGAGTAACAGATCTTTGCCTACTTTTTCAGCATTTATGAATGAATATGCCACTAAGTTTTGTCCAACAGCATATACTGCTTGTGGCAGTTTAATAAACTAACTAACTTTCTCCACAGCCAAATAAGCATTTTTTTTAAAATGTGTTATCTATACCCGCCATCTGGACCATGCGTCCTTTGAGGCAGTGCACATCTAACCTTACAATTCATCTTGGTAAATCTAAAAAAATGTCAAATGAACAGATGTAATTCCAAAATTTTTCAGATGTTACCTAGTTTCTTTTCTAATGCTGAGCCAGTAAAACCTTCTGAGCGTTTCTCCAGTCGTTGGAAGTCGGTTTGGAGCAAAGATTTGCAATGGAAAGCCTAAAAATAAAAATCTACGCTTTCTTGCAGCCTTTCTCAAATCTTTAGCTGGCTTTAGTATTGTGTAAGCATTTTTTTCTCAAGCCATTGTCTGAAAATATAGCTAACAGTACAGTTTCCTAATTTATATATATTTATAAATTTATAGTATAAAATATAGCTTACAGTACAGTAGTTTGTTTCGCATCAGCAAATAATACTATTAAAATTTTTTTTTTGCCAGGCAAAAAAAAATGCGTATCATACATAACATACACGTGTTATTTTTCATTATAGTTATTTACACTTAATAAATTATTTGAATAAGTCTTTTAAAATTGAAAAATAAACTTCAATAAAATGAAAACTTACTTATTAAGTAAAACTTTCATATGTCCGCGCGCAATCTTATAACTTAAAATTTTAATGTTAGGAGTATAATATTCTATTCTATAGTAATTACTTAAAACCATCTTCTTTACCTTAAAGTTGATTTGGAAAGCTGAAATTTTCACTATAAGCTAATAATACATATTGATAACGATTGAACTTTTCCACATTTTAATTTTCAAAACAAAATATTTTTTGAGAACCGACTATGTATTCGCGTAGACAATCACAGTGGTTAATTCTCAATTTCCACTTGTTTGACTATGGAGAGTTTTTGTGTCTTTTGGTGCAATCACTTTTCTTGGTTTACCATGCAAACAATTTCATCATAAAAACATTCAAAGCACTAAAAACTTTAACACTTTTACTTTATCCATGGACTGATGCCGTACTAAGGTTGTCTTTGGCAATCCTTTGGTTGTCGCAGAGTAAATCTATGCCCATGCCTGCGCCTAATAGGTTCTAATCAAACTTTTTTTCCTGACTTTGCTCCAGTTTCCCAGAGTAACTGTGGTCTCTCATATTGCTGTCTTATGTACTGAAAATGATGACTCTGCTCTGACATGGTTAATTGCTCTAATCAAACTTTCCTAACTCCATTTCATAATTTTGCCCCGCCTCTTAACCGAGGTTGACTGATCAATTAAATGTAATCATTTAATTGATTATTAACACAAGTTAAAGAAATATTATGTGCTGGCAGCTGTTTCATTTAACAAATATCATGTGCACTATTATCAGAAGTTGAAGAAGTTGCACCATCATAAAGATGAGTTGTCTAATAATTTTTAAAGCCTTTTTTGTAAAACCAGTCTTTCCGACAGACTCCTTGTGTAATTGTAGTAATGATCTACATCCCCACCTCTTGTTTTAACTATGTTAATTATCAATACAGGACCTATATAAAGAATATTATAACGCAAAATGTCATGTCGATTCAACAAAATGTTCAAAATTTACAAAAGCTAAAATTATTTCCAAATGTTAAAAATCATATGCCATTATTTGTAACCAAAATTCCAATTCTAGGCACGGGTAACGTACGGAAGTATACGGTTAACGTACTAAAGTCAAGAACCTGAAATTTACTAAGTAAAAACAGTTCGTGGATGATTCAAAGTAGATTTCAGGTAAATCTCTGCAATATTAGTTTATATAATATGCTTAATCTATTATTGTCCACCCTCACAAGGTTGGATGCTTTGGGTGAGAATATACTGTGCATCCAGAAAGTATTAGCATACTCGTAATTTTTTTATTACTTGAAATCAATATAGTAGTAGCAGTTTCATTTCGCCGTTAAGAATATATACAATGTACAAATATAACAAAAGGAAATGGTTAGAGCAAGAATAAGGCATAATAAGCCTTATCACTGAGCCCCATTACAAACCAGGGGCGACGGTACCGGGGGGCCAGGGACACTTTCCCCCTGGCCTCCCAGTAAAGATTTCGAGAATTTTTTTAAAAAAATGACTGTTGTGCCCTCCTCCTCCCCCCCCCCCCCACTTCGAAACCCGTGTTGTCGGCCCTGCAAACGGATTTAACAAGTCCGTAATATATTAAAATATATATATATATACTAATATATATATATATATATATATATATATATATATATATATATATATATATATATATATATATATATATATATATATGCAAAAAACTCTTTAAAAATCAACAAAGCACAAGGAATTGATGAAATTTGTAGCAATGTAGTAATAAACATCTTTCCGATAATAAAAAAACCCCTCTTCGAAATATTTAAATCTTCAATTATAACAGTAACCGCTCCAGAGAAATTAAAAATTGCAAAAATTGTACCTATATGAAGTATTTTGTGATATATATATACTTATATATATATAGTGATATATATATACCTATATATATATATATATATATATATATATATATATATATATATATATATATATATATATATATATATATATATATATATATATATATATATATATATATATATATATATTTTTTTTTTTTTTTTTTTTTTTTTGTTCTTTTATCTTTATAATGTTGTGATTCTACATGATTGGTACAAAGTTATAATGTTTTTAAAATATATAATACTAAAAATATATCACAATTTTATAGAATACAAAAAATATGATTGTAGGGTATCATTAATATTAAAAGAACGCGGGAAACTTGCAGAAGACCAGATGGTCTTGTCATCAAGAAACCGCTTGTACTTGTAATATTTTTTGTATTTTCGTTTTACAATGTATCAAGTTTCACAAAATACTTCATTTTATATTAGGTTCACATATAATAAAATGTAGAAATAAAAAATTGGTAAATACTGTTTGTAATACACATAATACACATAAATATATTATTAAGCATAAATATAATTATTATTGACTTATATTGATTTTTTATATTAATATAAATTATTGAAGTTTTTTGGATTTTGTTTTCAATTATAATTTTGGTTTTACTTTCAGTTTTAGTTTAGTGAAAGTTGAAATAATTGCTGATATTTAAAACAAACTTTTTTAGTAAGATTTTCAAACAATTTATGTTATCTAATTTTGTAATAATGGCATTTTTGGATATCAGTTTATTATAAAGATAGGGCCCGCGAAACGAAATTGTGAAACGCGACAGTTTTGTTTTTCTGAATGATACATTAAAGTTTCCTACTTCTCTAGTGTCATATCTATTTTTATTGCTTTTAAAAAATTCATTTAAGAAATGTGGTGGGACAAGCCCGAGTTTATATTTTAGCATGAAGAGTACGTTTTGGTAAATGTTAATTCTATAGACGTTTAGTGCATTTAGGAGTTTAAACAAAGGTTCAGCATGAGTGAGTTTATCTTTTTTATAGACAATTCTAATGGCATGTTTTTGACGTTGATAAAGTGATTTTAAATTAGATTTATGGGTACTGGCCCATGCTATATTACCATATGTATAATAGGTATGTATAAATGAAAAATAAAGATGTTTTGGATTTTCTTGGGATAACATTGGCCTAGCTTTGTATAGCACGCCAATGTTTTTGGTTATTTTAGTATTTAAATAGTCAATATGGGCTTTCCATGAAATATTTTGATCAATAAGTAAACCTAGGAATTTAGTTGTTGTGGTTCTTTCGATATTTTTGTTTTTTATTCTTAGCAATGGCAATATATTTGGTAGTTTTTTTTTTTTTTGATTTGGATGGAATAAGATGTAATTAGTTTTTTCTGTGTTTAAAGATAGTTTATTAGATTTTAGCCAATTATTAAGTTTTTCGAGTTCAATATTCATTGTTTCAAAAAGTTCTGTAATTGACGGGGAATAAAATAAATTAGTGTTATCTGCAAACATTATGACATCAAGTTTGTTTGAGGCTTTCGGAAGATCATTAATGTATATTAAAAACAGTAAGGGAGCTAGAATGGAACCTTGGGGAACGCCACATTTGATCTTTAGCATTTTTGAACAGATATTTTCATCAGTATTTAAATATTGTTGTCTGTTTAGCAAAAAGTTTTTAAACCTGAGTAATGCAACATTTTTTACGCCATATTTTTCCATTTTTTTGAGCAGGATTTCATGATCAACAGTATCGAATGCTTTTGATAGATCTATAAAGATTCCTAGAACAAATTCATTATTATCAAATGAGTAGTTGATGCTATTTACAAGATCTATGATTGCATGTTCAGTTGCATGTTGTTTTTAAAATCCAAACTGTTTTTTATTTAAGATGTTATTGTTTGTTAAATATATGTACAGTTTATTATAAATTATTCGTTCGAGAAATTTTGAGAATACAGTAAGGATTGAGATTGGTCTATAGTTGTTTAGTAAATATGGTTCTCCAGTTTTATATATAGGTACAATTTTTGCAATTTTTAATTTCTCTGGAACGGTTCCTGTTATAATTGAAGATTTAAATATTTCGAAGAGGGGTTTTTTTATTATCGGAAAGATGTTTATTACTACATTGCTACAAATTTCATCAATTCCTGGTGCTTTGTTGATTTTTAAAGAGTTTTTTGCATTTTCAAGTTCTTCATAGCTTAGTCCATTGAAAATTAGTTCGCTATTTAGATCTGTAAGGTAGTTTTCAAAGGAGTCATTTGTAGTTAAAATTTCAGACGCCATGTTTGGGCCTATGTTTGCAAAGAAATTGTTGAAGTGTTCGGCAATTGAGTTCTTATCATCGTGTTCGGTTTCATTTATAATGATTCTATCTGGTAAACTATTTGTTTTTTTGTTTTTTTTCCCGATTATTTCTTTCATAATGTTCCATGTTTTTTTCATGTCTCCATTTGTTTTTTTAAGTAATTTAGAGTAGTAAATTTTTTTATAATGTTTTTTGATTTTTTCGAAAAGATTTTTGTATTGTTTATAAGTAGATAGGTTAATCTCATTTCTGTTTTTCAAATATTTAACGTACAGTCATTACGGGTAACTTTGAACGGTTTGCGCTAGGTTTATCTCAACAAAAATTGTTTTACTAACTAGATAACAAATATTTTTACATAAAGAGTGTTCTGATGATCTCTTTTTTCTAGTTTGCTATCATTTTTTTAAATTTGCTAGATATTATGTCAAAAAACAATGTTCAAGTAGGCGTTCAAAGTTACCCTCGCATTTCGGGTAACTTTGAACACTATTAAACTGAATGTCAATTTTAAACTTTTAAATCTAAAAAGTTGTTTAAATTTCTTTGTATAAGTTTAAATTAATTTTTTAAAAAATCTAGTTAAACTATTTCGAGAATAAACAAACAAGTTTTTCAATAAAATATTTCTAGAATAAACAAACAAGTTTTTCAATAAAATATTTCTAGAATAAACAAACAAGTTTTTCAATAAAATATTTCTAGAATAAACAAACAAGTTTTTCAATAAAATATTTCTAGAATAAACAAACAAGTTTTTCAATAAAATATTCACAAAATAATTTTTAAGGTTATAAAAGAAAAAATTAAATAAGACATTATTTTTATATAATTCTCCACAAATAAACACCATTGACTATAAAACTAAATATTACAGTGTTTCCTTCTTTTAGTCTTGAGTTTCAACTAACTCTTTTACAAAATAATCATGATCAAGGAAAACATGTACATAGTGATTGTTTATTTGCTCCAATGAAAAAACTGCATCATTTTGAGATACAGGTAAAACTTGTTCATCGTCTTCAATAACTTGATTAACATTTACAGTGCTTGAACTTTGTAAAATATTAAGTTTTTTGTTTATTTTCATAACCATATTATTTGATCCAAGTGGTCTTCCTCTTTTCTTTGCTCGAATATTATCTTGACTTTTTTTTTTATTGTCTCTTTCCTTATAGTATGCTTCTACCTCAGTGGCTGATACACTTTTCCCTGCTGTTATTGGTAACTTAAATTTTTTGCTTACTTCATAATTAAGATGAATATTATCAACATAATTCCTAAACGATTCTCCAATATTGAGTTGAATATCTATATTTGTAAAACTGGGTAATTTGGAGAGAACATGTTCTGGTAAAAATGGATATATGCCAGTAGCCTTAAATCCTGCTTGGAGATTATGTTCTAGATTTTCTTTACCAACATTAAGAGTAGATTTAATGAGCTGCGTAAATAAATTTTTTGGCAGATTATTAACCTTTTTTCCTCTGGATGTTTTACGCCATTGATTAAGAACTGACCTCCAATTAGCTTTTAAACTCGAGAAATATCCAACATCTAAAGGTTGTAAAAGGTGTGTGGAATTGGGTACCAAAGATATAAATGTTATATTATACTTTTCACATATATTTAAGGCTTTTAAAGATATATGAGCACTTAAATTATCGCAAATCAGAATTTTTTTACCTTCCTTATTTATAATATTTGGAACAAAGTGATTTAACAGCCACTCTTCAAATATTTGAATTTCCATCCAGCCACTGCAAGAAGTTGCCATTCTTGATCCTTCTGGTGCATTGAAAAGCCAGTCAGACCAACTGTGTTTTCCTTTAAAAATGAAAAATGGTGGAATTAGTTTTCCTGAGGCATTTCCACAAAAAACAACAGTGTAACAAGTTTTTGTTGTGTTTCTTATAAGTTCTGGATGGCGAGAGGATCGACGAAAAATAAGTTTTTTTTTTCCAGGGTCATCATGAAACCCTGTTTCATCCATATTGTAAATGTTATCTGGCGTTACTCCATTTAATTCCTTCTCTAGATTTTGAAAAAATAATTTTATTTGACAATAATTAATCTGTGCAGGTTTCCTTGAAATACAATGAGATACTTTTTCTTTTAATGATGGATGCCTGTCAAGATAAAGTTTACACCACTCCCAACCTGGTCGGTTATCTTTAAACTGTTGTATATTTTTTCCACTATCATCCAAATAGATTTTGACAATACTTTTAAAATCATTAATTCCAATTGGTATACCTTTGTCACTTAAATAAAGTAAGTGATTTTCAAAACAAAGTTCTTCATCAATGCTAAGGGCAATAGGGCGCCCTACTGATTTACAGTGTTTATTTTTTAGCTTATAAAATGTTGCTTTAGGTACTTTATAAATTTTAGAAGCTTCACCAATCGACATTTTTTCTAATTTAATTTTGGCTAAAGCCTCTTGAAGTGTAGAATTGGTGTAATTAGATTTAGTGCCATATTTTCTTGTGCCAGGATGACTTGTCAAACATTTTCTTGGCATTTTATGAATGCTAAAAAAAGATGATTTATGTTATTAATGAAAATTATTTAATTAATCGCATATTTGCTTTTAATAAAATATATTATTAAATCTATCAAGATAGCCATAAATATCAAAAATTAATATATTAGTAATATATGTTATAATTTTTATTATTTATAATATCATACATCATTTTATAATAAAAATACTATAATAAAAAGATGCCTATTATTTATTATGTATTATTGCAATGTTACTCAGACAACAAAAAAAGCATTTTTGGAAAATATTGATTGTCTAAAGTTACCCTGAATTTGGTTATATTTTAGCTAAGTGGAAATAAATATCCTTTTTGTAGCGAAAAACATGTTAAATCCTATTATTTTGAGTTTGTATTAAAGTTCGAAAAATAATTCAATAAAATACTTAAAAATCTATTCAGATAATTACAATATAATACCAAATATTTTAAATTGAAAACACACGATGTTATCACCACATTCGACTGTGTAACTGGAAATGGAGGAAAACATTATTTTTGAGAAATAAAATTTAATTTTCTTTGGTCAAACTTTTGTAAAAAAAGATAATTCATCATATTATTCTTTGTTAAAGCAACAGGCAAAGAAAATACCAAAGAAAAAAAAATTTAAAAACATTTACACGTTTAGTTCAATGTTACCCGCAAATTCAAAGTTACCCAGAATGACTGTATAGTTTTTGTTTTGTTTTTGAAGATTTTTTAATTCAGTGTTCCGAGTTACATCATTAACTTATGATAATTATGCGAAACTATTTACGGCTGTCATGTTGGTTCACAAACAAATAAACAAAGCATAGTCATGTCTTTAGCCAAAAGCAAATATTTTACTTGTCTTTCTGTTGAAAGCAAGCAACGATATCTTCATAAAATTTCTCAAATAAATAATTTAGATCCTTACAGTTTAGTGCAATCTGACTTGGTTTTTTCAGTAGATTTTTATCCTAAAATAGGTTACCCTGATATTGTAAGTTATTTAATGTTTGCTCCATCTCCTATATCCGCTAATGAACTTAAGTGCTATAAAAGTTTGGAGTCATATAATTTTTTCCTCTCTGGTTGGGTCAAGGAAATCGGTTTAAAGTTATTTGATGAAAAATGTTTGGTTATTGGAAAGGTAACAAATTTTTATATTTGTATTTTATTAAAAAAAAGTTTAACGTTAAATTAAACATAGTTTTATTTTATCATATTGCAGGTTTATCATTCTCAAAAGCATAAAGAAACGGCAGCTTCAACATGGATTATTTCTGAAATGGATGGTAAAGTAATATATGCTCATTGTAACTGCATGGCTGGTCTCGGAGAGGCATGTTCTCACATTGGAGCAGTTTTATTTTATATTGATGCTGCTGTCAGAATTCGTGATTCTAAGACAGTTACAGAAAAAAAAGCATATTGGATGCTTCCATCTTCAATCAAAGATATTCCATATGCAGAATGCATTGATATAGATTTTACCTCCCCAAATACTTTAAAACGAAAATTTGATGAAGAAATATTAAACGAATCTACCTGTAGTGGATTTCTAAATGATAAAAAAAGCGATGCATTATCAAGTAGTTATAATTGCACTCCTCCAACTCAGAATGAACTTGATGCATTTTTCAATGATCTGAGCCTCTGCAAGTCAAAGCCAGCTATTTTGTCGATTATATCCCCTTACAGTGTAGATTACCAACCCTCATCGTTAAAATTGCAATTTCCAAAAATGTTGGGGGAACTTTATGATTCTTCAGCTTTATCTCTTAGTTACCTAGATTTATGTAAACAATGTGAAACTTTAAGTTTGTCTGTATCGGAGGTTGAGCAGTTTAATGTTGAGAAAGCTACAAGAGAGCAAGTTTTTTCAAAAAAATGGTTTTATTTTCGAGCAGGGAGAATTACAGCATCAAACATGTATAGTGTATTACACACGCTTGAAGCCATGCCTGCCTTATCATTAATTAAAAAAATTTGTTACCCTGAAAGTTACAAAGTTAGTTCATGTCAAACTAAATGGGGAATAGACAATGAAAAGATTGCTTTAGCAAAATATTTTGATATTGTAAAACATCATCATGTTAATTTCAAAATTATAAAGTGTGGTTTTTTTATATCGACAGAGTATCCTTTCATAGGTGCTTCTCTAGATGCTTTAATATCTTGTGAATGCTGTGGTGAAGGATGTGTTGAAATTAAAAATCCTGCTAACCATAAAGACAATTTTATATTAGAAGCTATTGGTAAAGATAAGACATTTTGTATACAAATAATGAACACTGAAAAAAAGCTTAAACAAACACACCCATATTACTTTCAAATTCAAACTCAGTTGCATACATGTAAAAAAAAGTTTTGTGATTTTTTTGTAAATACATCTAAAGATTATCACTTAGAAAGAGTTTATCCAGATAATTCTATATGGACAGCCTGCGTTACTAAGTGTCAGCAAGTATTTAGCAGTTCTATCTTGCCAGAATTAGTTGGTAAATTTTTTACAAGAGATACCAAAAATATGGATTTTGACTTTATTGATGATCACAGTTTATATTGTTATTGTAATGGCAATGAAAATGGTGAGTTATTTCCTTGTGCAGGAAAGAGTTGCAAAATTAAACTTTTTCACTTGGTATGCCTAAAATTGAATAATAAACCAAAAAAGAATTGGCTGTGTCCTGATTGTCATAAAAAATATATTTAGTATCTAAATGTGAGCATCGATTTAAATACTTGTAATAAAATACTTTATTTACTTATTTTAAATTTTTTTTATATGATGTTTCAGTCTGATTAACTCAGACGATCATCAAGCGTAATAATTTATAAATAAAAAAATAATTTTTTTAATTTTATGTCTGATGATGGTATGAACTAATTAGTCTGAAATATTACGTGAATAAATTAAAAATTAGTACTTA